CTAATTAGTGAAGGAGGGTCGAGCCCCCATGGGTCACGTCTCCCTCGGACAGGTGGTCCTGGGTTGTATAAGAAAGGTAACTGCATGTGAGCCGGGAAGCAAGCCATTCGTCAGCATTCCCCCACAATCCTGCCCTGGCTTTTCAATGAGGGACTGTCACCTGTAAGCCAAATAAATGCATTCCTCCCCAAGGTGCTTTTGGTCAAGGACTTGTCACAGCAACAGACAATCAAACCAGGACACCTCCTCAGTGGCCTTACCATTTAAAATTACCAGACAGAGGCTCAGGTCTCAGTGCATGAATTTTGGAGTGACACCAATATTCAGACTACAACAGAGTAATATGACTATTGCAGGGCTCACCAAAGCTAATGTATGCAAAACACATGGCACATACTAAGAGCATCATATAAAGTCAGGGCATTATGATGTCGGTCAACCCTTAGGGTTCGGGCAGCAGGGCTTCTCTCCTAGGATGTCCTCTCTGTCCCTTCAAGCTGAGTTCGATGCCCTCTCCTGTGCTCCTTCAAGCATGTCCCACGCTCTGGTCTCACATGTTACCACTGCAGGTGTGACTGTAGAGCTGCCTGAGGGCAGAGGTGAGGCCCACGGAGTTCGTACACCTGCCTGGGTGAGGGGGCGACGGTGTTTGTTGAGGTACCCCGAGGCTAGACAATCAGATGGGAGAACACCGGGTGGAAGGCGTTTGAAGGACCAAGGGGGAAGAGACAGGAGAGGTTGGAGGTGTGTCTGGGTGGAGCACATGCGTGCATGTGTGTGGCGGTCAGAGGTCAGCTTTGGACATCTCCAGTCACTACCCATCTTTTTAAAAAAACTTCTATTTATATATATGCCGCATGTATGTGGGTACCCAAGGAGGTCAAAGGAAGGTGTTGAATCCCCTGGAGCTGGAGTTATGGGTGGTTGTGAGCTGCCCAGTGTGGGTGCTGGAAACTGACCTTGGGTCCTCTGGAAGAGCAGCAAGTGATTTTACCCACTGAGCCAGCTCTCCAGTGTGGTGACATTGTGTTCCCCAAAATACTGTGCACCCTAATAAACTTATCTGGGGTCAGAGAACAGAACAGCCACTAGATAGACATAAAGGCCAGAAAATGGTGGCACTCACACCTTTAATCCTAGCATTCCAAAGGCAGAGATCAGTCTGGATCTCTGTGAGTTCAAAGCCACACTGGAAACAGCCAGGCATGGTGAATACGCCTTTAATCCCAGGAAATGATGGCAGAAAGCAGAAAGGTATATAAGGAGTGAGGACTGGGAACCAGAGCCTGGTTAAGCTTTTAGGCTTTTGAGAAGCAGTTCAGCTGAGATTCATTCTGGATGAGGACTCAGAGGCTTCCAGCCTGAGGAAACAGGACCAGCTGAGGAATTGGTGAGGTAAGGTGGCTGTGGCTTGTTCTGCTTTTCTGATCTTCCAGCGTTCACCCCCAATACCATGCTCCAGGTTTATTTTCATTAATAAGACCTTTTAAGATCCGTGCTACACTCCAGCCCTGCTACCATCTTTTAAAAAGTTTTTAAAATTACATTTATTTATTCATTTGTGTGTGTGTGCTCCAGTGCCACTATACACATGAGGTCAGAGGAGGGCTGTGGAGTTGCTTCTCTCTTTTCTCCATGCGCATCAGGTTGTCGGGTTTGGCGGCAAATGTCTTTATTCTGTCTTTGTCTTTAATCTTGCTTTTTGGGAAACTGTCTTTCAATTTACCTGGAAATCAATGAACAGGCTAGGGTGGTTGGCCAGTGAGCCCCAGGAATCCATTAGTCTCTGCCTCCCGAGTTACAAACCTGGCTTTTTTAAAATGTGGGTTTTGGGGATCAAACTTCATTCCTCATGCTTGCAAAGTACGGACTCTACTGACTGAGCTACCTCCCAAGCTCCAAAAACTCCTCTTGACACCAGAGAGGGCAGAGGAAGAGCCCCAGACTCCAGAGTTCTCTGAAAGGCTGCCTGGGACCATGAGGCGTCTCAGCGCCGAAGTCTCCACTGGAGAAGAGCTGCCCGAAGGGGGCGCTGTCACCGTGCCCACGCTCAGCTTCATGACACGGTGGTAATGGAGCTGCCTGCAGGGGGCGCTGTCACTGTGCCCACGCTCAGCTTCATGCCACGGTCTGGGGAAACAACTGGAATTGCCAGGGAAATCTGCTTCCACAGCAGGTTCGAAGAGGCTTTCATGGCTTCCACAGCTACCGATAGACAGAAGGTTGGCCACACCCCAAGAACGCAGGGCCAGAAGCAGGGGTGCCAGGATTTGTCACCTTGAGGCAGAAAGAGAGTGTAAAGTCCATGCCCCTTTGAATATTATTTCTCTCTCTCTCTCTTTCTCTCTCTCTCTCTCTCTCTCTCTCTCTCTCTCTCTCTCTCTCTCTCTCTCTCTCTCTCTCTCTCACACACACACACACACACACGCTTCTGAGTTTTCTCCCAGGTCTTACATGTTTCTATTGTTGTGGCTGTCAAACACAAGTCTTGTTTTTTGGGTGTTTTTTTTTTTTAATTCTTTTTGACTATCAATATATATTTGATATATGTATCGGTTATAACTAATATTCCCACACAGTCCTACAAGTTCTCGAGATTAATATCTTTTTTTTGGAATTGGGTCTCATGTATTCTGGGCTAGCCTCAAATTCATAAATCCGAAGATAACCATGAACCTTTACTTCCTGAGTGCTGGGATTTGCAGGGGTGCACCACCATGCCTAGTGCTGAAAATCAAACCCAGGTCTTTGTGCTGCGAGGCAACCATCCTACCAACTGAGTCCCATCCTCAGCCTAATTACATTTGAATGCCGTTTAGTGCCTAAACAACATCCATGGTTTCCTAAGTCATTGCTATTCAACATTTCCATTATTTCTTTTTTTTTTTTTTTTTTTTTTTTTTTTTTTTTTTTTTTGGTTTTTCGAGACAGGGTTTCTCTGTGTAGCTTTGCGCCTTTCCTGGGACTCACTTGGTAGCCCAGGCTGGCCTCGAACTCACAGAGATCCGCCTGGCTCTGCCTCCCGAGTGCTGGGATTAAAGGCGTGCGCCACCACCGCCCGGCTATTTCTATTTTTAAAACTACTTGCAGCACAGGCATGTTCTTATGTATGTCTTCAGACACACACTGTTTAAGCCTGTGGGTTATACTCCGAGCACAAATTTCAATGCCTGAAGTTACTGGGTGAAAAGAGTCGACTGTCACCAAGAGCATATGCTTGTATCAATTTTACAACTCAGGAACACTGGATATTCTTCACTGTTATAGGACTGGTACAGTTGTTGTAAAAGACCATCTCTCACTCTGTGTGTGCATGTGTGGTATACACCCACGTGTGTGCCTCAAGAGGCCGGAGGAAGATGTCACATGTCCTGGTCTACACTCTCCACCTTATTTTTTTTTTTTAATTTTCATTTTTAGTTGTGTTTCTGTGTGTGGTATGTACGTGTGAGTGCAATACCTACAGAGGCCAGAAGAGGGTGTTGGATCCTCTGAAGCTTTAGTTACATGGGGTTATTAGCAGCGCAAAGTATGTGCTGGGAACCAAACCCTGGTCTTCTGAAAGAACAATGCACACACTTAACTCCCTAGCCACCTCGCCAGCTCTCTGCCTCATTGTCTTGAGCCGGCCTCTCACTGAACCGGAGCTACGCTGGCAGCCAGCAAGCCCCAGTGATGTCCCCAGTGTCTCTGCTCCCCTCATCACTGAGGGGACGACAGGCACGTAGGAAGCCGCGCTCAGCTTCTGATATGGATGCTAGGGGCTCACACTCAGGTCCTCATGCCTGTGAGCCAACCACTCTTGCCCACTGATCCATCTTCTCTGGTCTCCCCACCCCCTACCTCTCACTTTATGTTCATTTCCCAGCATCCTCTACCCCCAGAGGAGCGCACGGGTCCGTCCTTTCCTCTTCGTTGCCGCCAAGGAATTTCCCAGTCGATGGCTGGAGGGTTAACGGCCTTCAAGTGCACTGAGAAGCTCTGGTCAGGAAAGGCCACTGCTGACACCTGAGGGCGGGCCGCCAGGTTCCACTTCTGAGGAGAGGATCAACACGTCTCTTTGATGGGTCTGCAGGGGAACAGACCCGCAGGAGGAATCTTCCCCACTTTCCCTCCTGGAACACCTCCACGCCCCTGTGCCATGCACAGTCTCCACTTCCTCAGGGACTGTGGCCCTTCAGTCATTCTAGTTAAAGTGACAAACAATGCTGCTTCTGGAGACGCTGGTTGCCTCCACAATCCCAACCTAACAATGGCAGCCTACAGAATTACCAGGAGTGGCAGCAAACGCCGTTAACCCCAGCACTTCGGAGCATCTCTTTTAGTTCAAGGCCAGCCAGAGCTACAAAGTGAGACCCCCCCCCCCCCCCCCCCCCCCCCCAGATCACCAGGACAGGCTTTGGAAGGATCTGAAGAAGAGCTGCATGAACAGCAGTGAGTTCAGCGAACAGAACAAGGATTTGCTAGGATGGCCACGGCTCAACGTCCCGAACATCCTGGTATGTGCACCGTGCAAAAGCCCTAAAGTCTAGGGAACCAATCTTTCAAAGCCCACTGCGTTGACTTTCCAGACTGTCCTCGCTACAGAATGGCTTCTTTGCAAATGTCCAGCTTCAGACACGGCTGGGTGGCCCTGAAAAGTGGACAATGGAGGAGACGGAAGCAGGAGGGCCAGCTGGAATCAGGCATGGGCAGAGCCACGCCATACCAGCCATACCTCTCAGATCTGTTCCCTGTATTCTGGCCTGATTGTGTATATTTGACTGTGTGAGAGAGGGGAGCAACACACACACACACACACACACACACACACACACACACACACACACACACACACACACATACACACACACATATACACACACGCACACGCACAGCTGACTGCCCAGGAGCAGGAGAGTGAAATAAGGAGCTGCCTCAGGGACCAGCTCTCCCCTACACTGGGGCTCCCTTCCTGTACTGGTGTTTTCTGCTGTTACAAAAAGATACTTGAGGCTGGATATTTTTTAAAGGTGGTTTATTTAGCTCATCACTCTGGAGGTTCAGGAAAACATCACCTGCTTCTGCTCATCTCTGGTGGGACCTCATGGAAGGTGTCTCAGAAGAGGGCACACAGGAAGCCGGGGGGAAGACCTAGTCTTGTCCTTTGAGACAGAGTCTCAGCCTGGCTCAGTCTTGCCTGGAACTTATTACTATATAACCCATGCTAGCCTCTAACCCCTCTGCCTCAACCTCCCAAGCGTTGGGGATCACAGATGTGAGCCACCATGCCCAGGTTTCTGCTATCCTGAGACAGGGTTTCACTATGTAGCACAGCTTGGCCTCAAACTAGTAATCCTCCTGCCCAAACCTGGGATTACAGGTATGCAGCAGTCTGTGCTGGGTGTGTGGTGGTACACCAGCAGTGCTGGCTACCCAGGAGGCTGAGGTGCCAAGACCACTTGAACCCATGAGTTCAAGACCACCCTGGGCAACACTGAGACCTCATCTCAAATCTTAAAGCAAACCAAAGCCAGTTACTTATGCCCGGCAAAGCTCACCGTGCAAGACCAGAATGAATCCTTCCTGAAGATGACGCCCCAAATGACCTAATCACCGCCCACTGGGCCCTGCCTCTCGGGTTTCACCCCTTTCAACACTGCCACAATGGGACTGAAGCCCATTTAAACCCCAGGATTTGAGCAAATCGGCAGAGGCCTGCCGCCACCATCTTGGTTCCTGGCAAGATTGAAAGTAGATGGTGTGGGACTGGAGAGTGTGGAGAAGATGGAGCCCATGGTGTCCAGACTTCTCCACCTAAGAATTAGGTTTCTGACGTGGCCTTTTGGCCCTTAGGATACAGCAAGAGCAGCGACTGAGAGAAGCCCCGGGGAACCTGTGGAGTTAGCAGGATGGAGAGTCATTCATCCAGGAACTGTCCATCTGTCCTGGTTAGCTGTCAACAGCCTAGAGTCCTGAGAAGGGAAAGCCTCAACTGAGGAGCTGCCTAGGTCACACTGGTCTCTGGGTGTGTCCCTGCGGGATCATCTCAACTGTTAAGTGATGAGAAGGCCAGCCCATTGTGGACGGTCCCTTCCATCGGCAGGCAGCCTTGGGCTGTATAAAAAAGCTAGCTGTGCATAAGCCTGGGAGTCAGAGTGAACCAGCAGGCAGTGCTCCTCTGTGGCTCCTGCTCTGACTTCCCTCAAGGATGGATCATGACTTGGAAGTGTAAGCCAACTCTCCTGGAGTTGCTTTTGGTCAGAGTATTTTTACCACAGTCACAGAAAAGGAAACTAGAGCACTATCCATTATCAGGCCCATATTGTATGCTGTCCTGGGTGCTAGGGACCTGTGAGATGTGAAGTCCCTTGTCCACACACGCTCAGCCTGCCATGCCCAGGGGAAGGGCCTACAGCTGGCACCACACTGCACTCCAGACCACACGCAAAGTCTGAGCAGAAGCCACTGGTATCCCATGCTGTCACTCTCCAGCCTGGCCTGGTTCACCCTCCTTTCGTGTTCTACCAGGAATAACCAGATGCCACAGAGTGCCTTTCCCTCGGTGTGGCCTAACCCCTTTCCCCTGCGTTACACGGGTCCCAGGCCGACATCCTTCAAGACTGACCGACCCAGGGAAGATGTAATCTCCAATGAGAAGACAACACAAATGGCCAGCTGAGGCCTGGTTCTCTGGCCACAGCTCTCCTCATCCCGCACTGCTGAGGGATTAAGGTCTAGGTCTAAGTTAGCTATTTGACATCAGGATCGGGGTGGTTCTCCACTGTAGGAGAGGGTTGATGGACCAGAAACGTGTCTGGTGCTGACTCAGGCTGACATCCACAGCCCACTGGGATTCAGAGACCAAGAAGAACGAACACCCTGTTTATTTATGTTGCTCTCTACCAGGCCCTCAGGCTCCCAATCTCATTCGACCCTGTAATCAATCCTTCCCACTTCGTAGCTGAGGTAAACGAGACTCAGATTCATTTAGGCACTCACCCACAGTCACCAAGTTCATTCATGACAGGACAGACTTGAGCTGTTTAACTCCAAAGATGGTCACTGTTCTGACCTCGGGCTGTGGATGCAGCCATATCCAAAGTTTCCCCCAGAATTCATCACAGGGTGGTGCCTATGTGAGCCAGGAGCGCCCTGTTGACTGGCGTCTCAGGAGCGCCCTGGGTTGAGCGTCCCCCTCCACATCTGTAGTAGAGAGTCCCGGCGGGTAGTGTAGGGTAAATGTTTGATGCGGAACCAGTGTCCGGGGACAATGTTTCCACTTGGTGTGTACAGCTTCTCCCCTTGTGGGCCCAAAAGGCTTCGGAGGGCTAGGTTGCCTGACAGGATCTTCTCATAGAATTCCACTCCACCCTGGGCATAGGCTGCTGACAGAGAGGCGGTGCGGCGGTCCAGCCAGCCTTCCAGGGCAACAGTGAGTGAGTCCTTGCAGAAGGCGTAGACCACATAGCCTGCCACTACTGCCACCAAGCTGAAGGCAGCTCGAAAGCCCAGGGGGCCTCTATACAGCCCCAGGGCATGCTTGATACCCACACTGAGTACCCAGGTTCCTGCGAGGCAAGCTGGGGCTGGCAGGGCCTGTAGGGTAGCCGCATTGCTCTCCAGGTATACCACCTCTTTGGCTAAGGCAAACTTCTGAGCATTCTGAGACAGGGTCAGGGCGTCTCTCAGCCTGGCACCTGCTGGGCTTTGCCAATTCACTCTTTGCCCATGTATGATCACAGTATGGTCAATGGTGGTCACAGAGCCACCCAGGAAGATGGCAGGGATTCCCACCATGGCCCCGGTAGGAAATCTTGGGAAGCCAGCACTCACAGGCTGAAAAGTAAAGGCGGTGAAAGGCTTGTAGTGATGACTTGAGGGGACACCCATGTCCTGTAGCACCTCCTGGAAGAGGCTCTGCAGCTGAGGGGCAAGAGGAGCCGGCTGGCCCTGAGGCCAGTACTGGTAGAGCCATTGGACTATGGGATCCGAGAAGAGGTGAAATGAGATTTGAACCCCAAACAGGCCCGCACAGGACCCCACCAACAGTCCTGTCCTGTGTCTCTGTATAAAGGCTGTAGCCCTCCACAAAGGACCAGCCATGAGTATTGTCTCTGCGGATAACTGGGCCAAGAATAAGAGAAGTCAGCCGGTGATTCTGTCAGGTTACAGACCGAGCAGCCTCGGGGCCACACCGTGGAAAACTGAAGCTAACACTGCATCGTGACTCAGTGTGGGCTCCAGCGTCAGACCACCTGGGGGCTTCACAGCATCAATTCTCCATCTGCCAGGCAGGTGCTTGACAACGGCCTCAGTGGCTGTGGTGAGTAAATACACAGAAAGCATGTCAGTGACTCGAAGTGTAGTGGACATCCTTCTGGCAACGGCTGGAATTACTCTGACTGCCATGGCTAGACACAGCATTAAGTATTCAACAGCCCACTCCACCCACCACTCATCCCATAGTGAATCTCTAACTGACATGAGCCACATGTATAGTTTACAGAGAGCTTACTATATGCTAGACACAGTTCTGAGACCACATACAGATGTCTCTCAGTAGCTGCAAGGGTTCTGTTCCAGGATCCCCAAGACCATCAGCTGCTTTATATAAATAGCATAGCATCTGCATATAGCCTATGCATATCTCTTATATACTTTAAATTATCTCGATTCTACTTATAATACCCAATACAACACAATGCTACATATAGTTACTCTACTGAATGTCTGCAAGCTCAGCAGACACCATTTAATTCTTGGCTGACTGATTATGCATCCACGGACACAGAAGGCTAACTATACTAGGAAACACCTGTAATTCTAATAAACAGGGAAATTAAAGATATTATACATAAACACCCACTACATATGCATATCCTTAGGGGATTAGACCCCCACAGACTCCAAGACCTTCAGATGCTCATCTCTGACAAGAACAGCTTAGCATTTGTATGTTACCTGTGTTCTAAGTCACCGATAGATGACTTTCAGTACGCTACAATGCAAACACCGCATCTGACCTTGTGACGCTGTATGCTTAGGGAAACAATGCCGTGTTCACCACAGATGAAAACTTCCCCCAAACATTTTTGATTTGCAGCTGGCTGACTCGATATAGTCAGTCCAAGAAAAATCCTCATAACTCTGGAACCTATACCACAACGGTTGATTTTTTTCAGCTGTGAAATTAGAGTTTTTTGGGTTTTGTTTTTTTCCAAAATCCCAAGTGACAGTGTCATATGCTGAATTGTGCTCCCAACCCCAAGTTCCCATGTTTGAGGCCAGATTTTGGTTATCTTAGGATGCGGCTGTATTTGGAGCTTGGGCCTGTGAGATGGAAAATACCTAAGGTTCTTGGGATGGCTCTAATTAAATCTCACTGCTTTCAGTCTAAGATTAGGACACATGCAGAGAAAATACCACATGAGGATACAGGGGAAAGATGGCCATTTGCTAGCTGAGGAGAACGGCCTGAGGGAGCTGAGCCTGGCCCTACCTCGGTCTTGGACCCCCAGCATCTCGAATTAAGGGAAAATAAACTGTCAGTCAGGATATGCACTGTGTGGTACTTTGTTTGGCATGCTGGTCACTTAAGAGTACAGGCTCAGTATCTGACCACAGGCCGTTAGGGGTCCACAGCAAGCATTTCACTTCAAAAAAATGTTATCTTTACATGTACACAAATAGACCAAAACTGCCCATCAGCCGGATTCATTATCATAGTCAATACTGTTTTGGTTTTTTTGAGACAGGGTCTCACAGGCGCACTTTTGAACATTCTGGGCACCTTATTTCGTCTATGACTATGTCACTAATTATCACTGTTATTTACCTTTGGATACAACTTCATTGTATTCCTATCTACGCAGAGCGTTTGATAAGCAATGCACTGCTGCCAATATAACGCAGGATTCTGCATTAAGTCATTCTTTCCAAGAGGAAACTGAGGCTAGGAAAAGCGGGGTCCAGGAGAGAGCGCCAAGGGACTCTCCCAGGTCGGCCCGTGAGCCCCGGAGCTGGCCCAGCAGCGGCTGTAGGACTCTGGCTTTGGAAGGGTCCCCCACACGGCTCCGCCATGCCCCCCAGGGTTGCTTCCTACAGCCGGAACCCGACAGCACCCGGAAGCTGCGGGTCGCGGGAGAACTCCCCTGCACATAGCTACCCGTGAGAGCTCACCTCTGCAGAACCCTTGGAAAGCGAGACTCCCGCGCCGGGCCCGGCAAGCGCAAAGCACGCCGGTCTAGGGCCTTCGGGGGCGGGGCCTTGTGGCTGGGGCGGGGCTTGGTGGGAGGGACTTGGAGTAGCGCTTGCACGCTGGTCCTGGCGGAACCTTTCTGGACTCTGAGCTCTCTAGGGTTGTATTCAGACGGCGGAGGAGCGGCCCGGGGACTTTGTCATCCGGTTCACGTGTCGCGGACCCCATGGTCATCTGGTCCTGATTCCTCTAACAGCGTAGAATAAGTATTTGTGCAGTACGCTGGGAGGAGAGCCAAGCTTAGTGAGGAAGGTCTGGAATTTGCTACGAACGACCCCTGCATTCCAAAGGTCAAGTGACCTTGGGAGGCCTGCAAGAAGTGAGATAGGTATTGACTAGAGTAGGGTTAAGCAAGAAATACATACTGGAAGGCACACCCAGCAAACTGTAGAAGCGTGGATAGCACATGTACTTGTCAAGACCAGAGGTCAACCTAGGATGGTGTACCCCAGGAACCAGCCCCCCACTGTTTGGAGATTGGGTCTCTCACTGGCACCTGGGGGTCAGCAATTAAACTAACCTACCTGGTCAGTGAGCCCCAGGATCTACCTGCTTCTGCCAACCCAGTGCTGGATTACAAGCATGCACCAAAACACCCGGCTTCTTATGTGGATGCTGAGGATTGAGCCCAGACCCTCGTGCTTTTGAGGCAAGTGCTTTACCAATTGAGTCATCTCATTAAAACTCTGACGAGTTTTCTAAAAACAATCCTGAGGTGCTTTGGGGTGTGAAAATAATACTGAGTATTACTAGTATTTTAATTACTATTCCGTAGGTTAGAGTAATACGTTTAACTATCTCATATCTTTTAAACCTAAAAATCTGTTTATAAATATTGCCTTAGCCCATCCAGGAATCTTTGTATAAAGATATTATTCTACTTGGTTTATGGTCAACTTTCAAATAGCCCACAAGCCTTACAGATTATCTTCCTTATTTATATGTCACAATTTTCATCTTTAATTGATCAAATTTCCTGAGAGATTTCAAACCACACTTTGATTGAACTTAGTTGGTTCTTTTTTGTTTGTTTGTTTGTCTTCTAGACAGGGTTTCTCTGTGTAGTCCTGACTGGCTTGGAACTCTCTGTAGACTAGGCTGGCCTTGAACTCAGAGATCCACCTGCCTTTGCCTCCCAATTGCTGGTATTAAAGTCTTGTCCCACCACCGCCTCCATTCCAACACCCTTCCCTACCAGTTGGTTCTTTTGGAGGGGTTGGGGGGAGGGGGTTGAGATAGGGTTTCTCTGTGTAACAGCCTTGGCTATCCTGGAACTTGCTCTGTAGACCAGGCTGGCCTCAAACTCAGAGATCTGCCTGCCTCTGCCTCCCAAGTGCTGGGACTAAAGGCGTGTGCCACCCCCCCACATGCTCCCCTACCCCTGGCTTAGTTGGTTCTTTCAAATACAATAACCCCCAGGATTAGTCAGGGTTCTCCAGCGAAAGAACCTACAGTGTGAGGGTGTGTGGAAAGAGTTTAACGGAGAGCACTTGGGGTTCCATGTGCATGGTGGCGTGTGTCTTTAATCCCAGCACTTGGGGGCAGAGGCAGGCAGCTCTCTGTGGTTCGTTCATACAGTTAAGAAGCCTGAAGCCCCAAGCTCTGCTCTCAGCTGCACAACCAAGGTTGCTTATGGTCTAGCACTGGTCAAAATCAGAGCCCTTAGAGCAAGAGGACCAATTGCAAGAGTTCTGATCTGAGTCTTACTCCAAAGCCAGGAAAACACCGACCTCCTTGGCTGGCTGGTTTGCTTATTTTTCAGTGTTAAGGACTAAACTCCTGGGATTCAGAGAAGCTCTCTAAGGCCACCCCTGGCCATGTCCCAGTTTTAAGGTGGGTGGGGGATAACTCTTTCTTGGCCTGACTCGTGTTTTTTTATTTTTTGGTTTTTTCAAGACAGGGTTTCTCTGTGTAGCTTTGCGCCTTTCCTGGTACTCGCTTTGGAGACCAGGCTGGCCTCGAACTCACAGAGATCCACCTGCCTCTGCCTCCCGAGTGCTGGGATTAAAGGCGTGCGCCACCACCGCCCGGCCTTATTCTGGTCGTGTTAGGCAGGAGGTCAGCTGTGGAAGGGTCTGATCCATAGCCCACCAACATCGGGCATAAAGAACAATGGATGACCACATCCAGGCCCTGAAATGGGTGTCGGATAAAGGTGGTGATTGAATGATCGGTGGCCAAGATATCAAGACAGCAGTGCTCTCCACTGCGTTTCTCTAAACTAAGGGGTGAAGTTGGTGCCCTGACAGCAGCTGTGAATAACTGTATAGATTGTGTCTGTCCATATTCTATCACAGACCATGGAGGTCCTCACAGGCCTTACCCCTCGCTGAGGATTTACAGGCAAGTTCATGGTTGCTGGGGAGACAAAGAGACATTATCCTCAGTTGTGTAGCCCCTGGGAAGATGCCCACACTCCTTCACATAACCCCTCACCCATGCTCCTGTAAGCAACCCTCGTGAAATTCATTGTTACACACGCAGATATGAAAGTAGAGGAGAGAGGAATTAGGGAGAGGAAGGGGATGGGTGGGAGTGGGAGGGGACAAGAGAGGGTGAATATGAGCAAAGTACATTACGTACATGTGCGAAAATACCACAATCATAAAGAAACCATTGGTGATTTTAACATATGCAGAAACACCTTTAATAAAAAGGTCCCATGTTTATAGGGATGGACCCAGGATGGGGTATGTTTGTGTATCTCTTGTTAATCTGACAGATGCAAGGAGAAAGACCACTGACCGAAATCATCATGGCCAAATTAATTAAAGCAAGCAATTAAAGCAAGCTTTTTAAAATTTGTGTACATGGGCTGTCCTCTCTAAAGGTGGGGTTTAAGAAATTAGCCCTGGACAGGATAAGGTGGGTTTTTTTGTTTGTTGTTTTTTGTTGGTTTGCTTTCTAGACAGGGTTTCTCTGTGTAGCCCTGGCTGACCTGGAATTTGCTGTGTAGACCAGTCTGCCCAGTCCCAAATAAACACATAGAAATTTATATTAATTATAAATGCTTGGCCAATGGCTCAGGCTTGTTATTAACTAGCTCTTACATTTAAATTAACCCATTTCTATTAATCTATGTATTGCCATGTAGCCGTGGCTTTACCAGACCTCTAGCCTCTTACTTCTTGGGTGGCCAGCTCTTCTCTCTCTCTCTCTCTCTCTCTCTCTCACTCTCTCTCTCTCTCACTCTCTCTCTCTCTCTCTCTCTCTCTCTCTCTCTCTCTCGACTCCGCCCTCTTCATCCCAGTCCTCAGTTTGATTGTTTCACCTAAACTTACCCTGCCTTGCCATAGGCCAAACAGCTTTATTATTAACCAATGAGAGCAGCACACATTCACAGTGTACAGAAGGACCGTCCCACAGCACAGGCTAGCCTCAAACTCAGAGATCCATCTGCCTCTGCCTCCTGAGTGCTGGGATTAAAGGAGTGTGCCACCATGCCCAGCAAGATAAGGGTTTTTATAGTTCAGGAGTAGGGGTTTCCAAATGGGGGATTTGGCAGGCAAATAGGTGGGGTGACAGAAGCAGAACATGAGCATAACAAGTTGGTCATAACAACCTCCTGAAACAGAGACATGGTTGCAAGATGGTCATAAGGTAATCATAACAAGGTGGTCATAATAACCTTTGAAAAAGACACGGTTGCCATTTCCTGGAACGGCAGTACAGAACCATTTGCAGTTAAGGTTACTGGTGGGGCAGAACCCAATCCTTGAGAAACAGATTTAATCATAAACGGGAATGAGCCTAGTTTGTCTTGACTATAAGATGGCGTTCAAGCCTAAGATAGAGGTAGGCTGGTCCACCACTCTGTGTAAGGTGTACATTGTTGGTTACTGGGGGTAGGGCCCTCTGACTACTTTCCATATGTATTTCAAGGTTTGGTTTTTAAAATTTTCGTATGTATATGTGTGTGTGGTGTGCACACTTGTATATGCATATTTATGTGTGTGGATGTGCATGTGTGTGTATATATATATATATATATATATATATGTGTGTGTGTGTGTGTGTGTGTGTGTGTGTGTGTGTGTGTGCCTGTGTGTGCCTGTGTGCTGATTAAGGCTTATGCCATGTGTCTTCTTCAGTCACTCCTTACATTATTTACTGAGGCAAGGTCTGTCACTGAATCCAGAGTTTGCCAGTCTGGTAGTCTAGCAAGCCAGCTCATTCTGAGAAGCCCTGTCTGTACCTGTCACGGAATGGGTTACAGGCAGGCTGCCATGCCCACCAGGCTTTGACATGGGTTCTGGGAATCTGAACTCTGGTCCTCACACTTGCAGGACAAAGTGCTCTACCTGCCGAACTGTCTCCAAAGGTCTTTTTTCTATGTCATTTCCTCTAAAGTCTTTTCACAAATGGTTTTTAACGAAGTTCTTGTCCAGTATTTAAAGGAAGCAAACCAATTTCAGAGACTATCATCAGACAGACCTCTTGGTCCCCACCTTGGCCAAGCCCAAGTTATAATGAGGCCCTTTAAAGTTAAGCTGTTTCTGAGAAAGAGGGTGTACTTGTCCTGGCTGCACTCAGGGCAGCTCACGGCTGGGCATACTCCAGCTCCGCCCTGGCCTGCTTCTTGCTCTGTGTGTTTGTGTGGGCATGTGCATGGAGACCAGAGTCAGGTCAACCTCCAGATGTAGTTGCTCAGTGTTAGGTCCAAAACCCTTTCCCACACCCCAGTGGCAATGCTCATGACATTGTCCTAAACAGAAGGACTGTGACATAATAAACTGTTGTTTTTCCTTTGGCACAGCAGCTGCACCTGAATCTACTGTTGCTTCAGCCAGCAATTTCTGCTCCACAGTTACTGGCCAGCTTCTCAGGCAGCCGCCAGTGGGACTTTTACGTCCAGCCCAATCTGCCTCCTGCCGCTGCCACCAAATGTAGTTTTAACTAAATCTCTATCATTCTATTTCTCAATAAGATTTGGGAGTCAGAGGCTGGGGTGAAAACTTGCTAGCTCAGAGAGGTTACATGTCAGAAAGAGAGCATCCTTCTGCTCTGCCACATTCAAAGTCCCTCCCTACTACTTCCTGTGCGTCTCTCTATCCAACTTCCAGACTCCCTCTGACTCCATGGTTACTTTTTGTCAACCAGTTGCTGGCTCCACCTCCTGACCCATGGTTGATTTTATTTAATTAATGCAAACACCAACTTGGGGGTCACAGTGTGATCAAGTATTCTGCAACAGTAAATAGAAGGACTGTTGTTAGGTAAACAAACCTGAAGATGAGTTTCTGTTTAAAAGAAAAGCAGATCTCCTAAGGTGGGTCGCTGTAAAACAGGAACCCACTTTAATCCTCCAGAAACTGTTACTAGGAGCCCACCAGAGATGATCACTTGGACACAGTTTATAGCCACTTGAAAGTCTTTATTACAGCTGGCTAGGACTACACTCAAGTATTACAGGACCCAAGTATAGTGTTGAGTATTTAGGGTAAGGGGTTTTAAAAGGCAAAAACCACATCCTGGTATCTTACTTGGCAGCTGCAGGGGGAAGTTCTGCACAAGCAGGCAATTCAACAGAAGCTAAGGTAAGCTAGCTGAGGCATCCTGACCTTGGGTCTTAGAATAGAGTTGGGTAATTTTCCACAGGGTTTTCCATCAAGGAGACCAAATTCTGGTTAAGCCCATAATGGCTTCAGCAAGAATACAAGATTGGGGAAGGTTTGCACATCTTCCCTGTCACAGAACCTCTCTTGACCTTCCCCTAGAGGTCAACTACATTGGACAAGGACATCTAGTTCCTGTTGAATTTCAAACCTAGGACAAATAGGCTAATGTGTCTATTTAGCATATCAAAGGACCTGGCTGCCAGGTTCTCCCAGCATCCCTCAGTACCTCCCTGTTACAGGGTATGGCTGGCAAACTCTACCTTTAACTCTGCAACCCAGAGGCTGGGCTGTCCTTCCTCCAGAGGCTCTTCCCTATATAACCCAGACATTTTGGTTACCTTCCCCATTTTTACCTTTGGCCTCCTGGCTGCTGCGCCTGGTTCCCCTCTCTCCCCTCTTCCTTACCCTCTCCGACTCCCCACATGGTCCAGCTCTATAAAATAAAAATGCCTCTAACCTGTAAGCCCCACTTGCCCAAGGACAGATAACTTCCTGAAATGCTGGGGGCTGTTGTTCATGTGAGATAACAAGCCACATATTTTCACTTCTGTAAACAAGATTGGTTGCCTCAATGTCGCAGGATGTGATTGATCACACATAAGCAGGAGATACATAGGCAGGAAATGCATCAGGATGTATGCTTGCTACCAATTGGATGAAGGCAGGAAGTAAGGAGCCTTGAGGGGTTTGCCTTTATAAGCACCTAACTAATGTAATTTGTGGCTATTCTCTAGGAATCCTGGGTATGGACATGGCCAGTGTCTACCATCCCGGCCAGTAGTTAATAAAGCTTACTTCAAATTAGGCTAAAGAACTGTAGTAGTGGTCTTATTCTTGCCACTAGTTAACAACAGTGTATAACTTGTTTTCTGCCCAGCAGGCAGGAGCAGGGGTGGTTAACAGCCTGGTGATCTTGGGGCTATCTGTATGACTGAGACCACACCAGCTCCCTGAGATCCTGAAGATGTTACATGTAGTCAGTCTATAGAACCCATCTTTATGGAAGAGGTCACATGTACTTTACGAAGAATTCTTAAGCTTTTTTTAGTACCTGGGATTGACTTAATTATCAGGAAGATTTTTTTTTTTTTTTTTTTTTTGGTTTTTCGAGACAGGGTTTCTCTGTGTAGCTTTGCGCCTTTCCTGGAACTCACTTGGTAGTCCAGGCTGGCCTCGAACTCACAGAGATCCGCCTGGCTCTGCCTCCCGAGTGCTGGGATTAAAGGCGTGCGCCACCACCGCCCGGCTAAGATTTTTTTTTTTTCAAATTGTGCTGTGATTTAAATGTGCCCCAAATAAACTACCTGGTGTCATACTCTTGAAGCTTGAACCAACAACAGTTACTGGGTTGCGTGAAACCAGACTTCCTCTTTGCCTCCCTCGGACTGACACTCTGTTGGCTGTGGTGGTTGCAGAGACCCCCACACCTGGAAACTTAAAGGCCTATAGGACCTACCCCCCAATAGTTGGACCCTCCTGCTCCCCCAAACAGTTCAAAGCAGATCAGGGCATGTTTATACAGCAGTTGTGGGCCAATCAGCCGCTGACCCTAAGTTAGGGGAGGAAGACCCTTCAAAGACTTAATTTGAAAGAAAAGACTCTTATATGAGGTGATATTTGGGGAGATCTACATCTGTGTTCCCAAGCCACGGACACACGTTTTTGGCTCTAGAACGATCCATGTTTTATTCCTTTGAGGTGAGAGCTGACTTTCGGTGGACAGCGGCCAAACCTGGTTTGTGGGAGCACAGGCAGTGATCCCCAAGTTCTGCAACATTGTGTAGAAAATACTTCACCAACTGAAAGTCCTTGAGAGAGGAAGCAGCTATAACTAGTATGAAAGGAGAGCTGTTGGGGGAGCCCTCAAGATCTTCGGTTCTCTAGCCCATGAGTCTTAAGAGACCGTGAGATCTTAAATTCAATAGCGCACATTGAGGCAGATTATTTCTTGAGGCCACAAGAGAGAGAGTGAGGAAAGGGTTATGGACTGCCCAGGGGAGTCAAGAAGTCTTTTGTAAGGCCTTGGGGAAAAGGCATGGGATGTTTCAGACCAGTGGGAGGAGGAAGGGCTCTTGCTAATGTGTGAGGTGTGGAGGAGGAATGCATTTCCTTAACATCTAGCCCCCTCACGCCTGAATCTGGCCATCCGAGCTCTGTGAGCCTCCTGCCATTCCCAGGAATCTTGACACCCGAGGAGTCTGTTTACAGACTCCCAGGCTCTCAGAAGAGTGTCCATGTCTCTCTGTAGCAGCAGGGGTCCCAGGATCAACTATGAGGACCAGAGAGGGAGGCTCCAGATGGGCTTAACTTGAGCAACATCTGGTCTGGAACTTAATATTTCTTTTCTGGAGTCCTGGTACTGGATACTGGGGGCCTGTTACAGATTCACAGACAAGCTCTTCATAGGGCACAGGTTAGGGTGGCCTGATTAGCCCCTGGTTTAAATCTAACAGGAACGGTGTGATAATGTTAGCAAGTGTGAGAGAAGGATTGCTGCTGGATCTCCAGAAGCAAGTGCACCTGAGATTCCCAGTCACTCAGACACAATGCCAACCCTTGTTCCACCCACTATCCCCTAGAACCTGGGCGACTGATCCCAGAGAACCTCTGAGTATCTCATGGCCAATGGCTGCACTGAAGGAACTTTTCCTTGTCATCGACTGCAGAATAAAACACAGGTGACCGTTCCCTGCCTCTTTTCATCTACAGGAGATCTGAAGGGGGTGGGGGGAAGCTCTTTGGACGATCTGGAAGGTGATTTGGGTCACTTAGGAACTGAGGTTACAACTTTCAAGTCAAGAGATGTATTTCTTGTAACATCCACTAGAGGGCACAGGTTCCCCAACACCGTCAACACACCCATTCTGAGGTGTGGTAGCCTTAGGAAGGTCTGGACAAGCTGGGAGTGAGATAAAAGAAATGGGTGCTTGCTCATGAGTGGGGAAACTGAGGCAGACACAAACACTCACTGACATGTGAACAGATTCAAGTTCATGTAACAAAGCCTGAGCCAGAAAGTCACTGTGACGTTAATCTTGATCTTCACTTGACGGGGTCCAGAATCTCCAAGCACACAAGCCTCCCTGTGAGGTTGTTTCCAGGCTGAGATGATGGAGGTGGAAAGACCCTCCCTACTTGTGAGTGACACAATCCCATGGGCTGGGGTCCCGGATGGAATAAAAATGAGAAAGTGAGCTGGGCACCAGCATCCACCTCTCTCGGCTTCCTGACTGTGGATGCCGTGTGACCAGCTGCCTCACACTCAGCCTGGCACCACGATGGCTGTACCCTGGCACCCTGGCACCACAATGGCTGTACCCCGGTACCCTGGCACCATGATGACTGTACTCTGGCACCACGATGGCTGTACCCTGGTACCCTGGCACCATGATGACTGTACTCTGGCACCATGATGGCTGTACCCTGGCACCCTGGCACCACGATGGCTGTACCCTGGTACCCTGGCACCATGATGGCTGTACCCTGGCACCCTGGCACCACAATGGCTGTACCCTGGTACCCTGGCACCACGATGGCTGTACCCTGGTACCCTGGCACCATGATGGCTGTACTCTGGCACCATGATGGCTGTACCCTGGCACCATGATCCAAAACAAATTCTTTCTCTCTTAAGTTGCTTTTGTCACAGCAATGAAAAATTCATCAATACAGGTCTGAATGCAATGTTGGGCACCTGGGAGAAGAGAGGGTGAGGCAGTAGCGCCAGCCAGAGGCTTAGGAACTGGTGGCCGGGAGCTGCTGAACGAAGCAGACGAGTGTATCATCTGAACTCGGAGGGAGTCAGGTCCTGGACTTGTCCTCTGTGGTGCCAGAGCTAAGTAGACATATTGAATGCAGGGCCCAGTTTATGCAGCGCTGGGGTTGGGACTTGGACGTCACAGATGCTCAACAGACACTCTGCCAGCCGGGCCTCACCCTCAACACAGCGGAAGCCAACTCTCTCTGCCAGACAGGTTCAGATGAACAGGCTGCCTATCCCACAGGATGAGAAATGAGCGGCTGCCCTGCAGATGATGGGCAGCTGAAGGGATCCTGAGCCGTGATGGTCTCCTGTGGTTTCCTGACAATCAGTCGCTATGCTGTTCCAAAGGGGTAAGTCGTCCTGGAATCAGTGTGTGTGTGTGTGTGTGTGTGTGTGTGTGTGTGTGTGTGTGTGTGTGTGTATGTGAAAGAGACAGAGGTTTTGACAATTTAAAATTATTGTTGACTGCTGATCTTGGTTGTTAATTTGGATCTAGAATCACCTTGGCAATGAATCTTGGGGTGTGTCTGTCAGACCAGGAACTTTATACAGGGATTATCTGGCTTAGATTGAGATGGGGAGACCCATCCTACATGTGGCCATCACTGTCCATGGTCTGGGGTTCCAGACTGGGGAAAAAGGGGAAAGTGAGCTGAGCACTTCCTGGCTGTGGATGCCATGTGACCAGCTGCCTCAAGCTCCTGCCACCACACCTTCCTCACTGGATGGCATGTCTTTCCTGCCATGATGGGCTTTATTCCAGGAACCATGAGCCAGAATAAAGCCTTCTTTCCTTAACTCAATTGTTGGATTTTGTTATAGCAACAAGACAAGTAATTACACACACACACACACACACACACACACACACACACACACACACACAGAAGAGACTAGAAGGAATACATCCAAACATACCTGGAGTGTGACAAAATTCAAACACCATCAATCTTCCTGGCTTGTGCATATGAATGGAGGACTGTTAAAAGGCCAGGATTCCTGGCATCTTTGTGATGACTTTCTGCCGCAGGTGCTTCTGGGAGTTCCCAGAGGGATCCTGTCCAGTTGTTCCCATGAATCTGCAGGTTCTAGTCTTACAGTGTCCACCCCTGTGCTAGCCCTAGCCAGGCTCAGCCACCAGCACAGCTGGTCCAGGAGCCAGTGTTCCCACCCAGGTGGTTTCCTTGGGAGTGGCTGCTAAGGCCAAAGTCCTAGTGAGATTCTGGGCAGAGGTGGGAAGTCAGATTCCTCCCAGATCCTTCTGACACCACAAAAGACTCCCAGAAACTCTCTTGGCATGTGTGCGCGCGCGCGCGTGTGTGTGTGTGTGTGTGTGTGTGTGTGTGTGTGTGTGTGTGTGTGTGTATGTGTGTCACAAATCTGGGTGCATGTGTAAATGTGGGTAGAGGCCAGAGGACAACTTCAGGTGTAATTTCTCAGGATGTTGTCCACATTGTTTTTTAAGGTAGGGTCTCTCCAGCAGGGCAGTGGTGGCACACTCCTTTAATCCCGACACAGGGCCAGCCTGGTCTACAAAGTGAGTTCAGGACAGCCAGCGCTGTTACACAGAGAAACGCTGTCTCAAAAACAAACAAACAAAACAAAACAAGCAAACAAAAAAGGCCAGGGCCTCTCACTAGCCTAGAACTTACCAAGTAGGCTAGATGGGCCGGCCATTGGCCCCGGGATCTTCTCCCTTCCCCAACCTCTTGCCCACCAGCACTGGGATTAGGCGTGTGTACCTCTATAGGCAGCCTTTGACAGGGTTCTTGGGATAGCATTCAGGTCCTCACGCTTGCAAGGCGAGCACTCTACTGACTGAACCGTCTCCTCGGCCCCTGGCCCTTAGCCCCTTGTCTCGGTGACTCCTGCCTTGCTCAGGAAGGCAGGCTTTGTTACAGCACAGTCTTGCACTAACAATCTCTCAGGGAGTCATCATAGCAATGACATATTTTTTATTTTCAGAAAGAAAAAATATAGTTTAAAAACAAGGCATCTGCATTTCAATTCCCACCTCTAGAAACTTTAATTCCAAAAATGGCTCGACTGTAAATGGTCTCAGAGGACCTCCGTGGCCTCGTAAGGTGAAGGGGGCAGCTGATACAACAGTGGTTTTTATTCTAGAATCAAGTACGAGTTGAGAGCTTTGAGCCGAAGATTCTTCATTTCCTCTAGCACTTTTTCCCCCACCTTCTCTGGTGGCTGGGCTGTGTCTTTGACATCCCTGAATATTGGAAACAGAACAAAAATACACTGAGCCACTTACTAAACACGCAAGTCAAGCCAGCTAGATGGCTCCATGGTTAAAGGCAACAGCCCTAAGGCTGATGATCTGAGTCCCATCCTGGGACCCACAGGATGGAAGGAGAGAGACAAGTACCCTCTGGCCTCCATGGTCTGCTTACCATGGCCCATGCAGGCCCCCATACATATATTCATATGAGCACACACAAATTCAGTCAATGATGTTCTTTGAAAGAATTTAGAAGCTGGAAAGTTGACTCAGTGGGTAAAGGCACTTGCTGCCCTGCCTTGAGACAAGAGTCTGATTCCTAGGACCCACATCATGGAAGGAGAGAACCTCTCTCTCTCTCTCTCTCTCTCTCTCTCTCTCTCTCTCTCTCTCTCACACACACACACACACACACACACACACACACACACACACACACCAAGTAAGCAAACTTAAAAAAAAAAAACACATACACACACAAATTACTCTGATGTCCTGTGAGGATTGGAAGTTCTGCTTTGATATAGAAAGAAAGTTTTGACTCTACTTGTAACTTAGTAACCAGTGAGAACCTTCAGTCCCTGAGTGACTCAAACTGGACTTAGGTCTCGGCTATACAGTTTTCTACAGTCTCCACCTCCAATTCAGCACCCCCGTGAAGGTGAAGTGAGAAAGCAGTCACACAGATTCGACAAGGTGCTGTCTCAATGCTCAGACAGCAATAGCTGGGTTTGCATCCGTGTGTATTCGGATGTGTGTGTGTGTGACTGCAGATGTGTGTGTGTGTGTGTGTGTGTGTGTGTGTGTGTGTGTGTGTGTGTGTGTGTGTGTGTGTAGGCCAGAGGTACACGTTAGGTGTCTCCCTTGGGGGCTCTTAGCCTTAGTTTTTGAGACAGGGTCTCTCACTGAACTTGGAGCTAATTCAGTTAAGCTGGCAGTCAGTCCCAGCAATCCTCCTGTCTCTGCTCCACCAGGACTGAGATCACAGTACACACTCTCATGTCTTACTTTTTTTTTTTTTTTAATTTTTGAGACAAGGTTTTTCTATGTAGCCCTGGCTGTTCTGATATTCACTATCAAGGGTGGCCTTGAACTCACAGAGATCCTCTACCTTTCAATTGCCGGGAATAAAGGAATGCCCCACCTCGTCCAATTTGCCTCTTTAAAAAACAAAACAAACCATAGGTTCTGGGGGATTAATTTGGAGTTCTCATGCTTGCTGAGCACAAACTTACTGACTGATCCTCCCTATATCTCGATTCAAGTTTTAAAAATATTTTATTGTTATTTTAAAAAAAATTATGTGTATGTGTACATGTATGGGGTTATGCATATGAATGCGGTGCCCAGAAGAGGGGATTGGATCTCCAGAAGCTGGAGTTACAGACAGTTTTGAGCTGATGTGAGTGCTGGGAATTGAACTTGGGTTCTCTGGAAGAGCGGTATGCATTCTAAACCCCTGAATCATCTCTCCAGCCCTGTGGATTCAATTTTTAAAGGCTTACTTGTTAAAGCATTTGACAGAGATGATTACGTATAAATGTGACACACATTTAAATATTTGAAGCATTGGAGCTATGCCTCTTTCAAAGCTTGAGATGCTGAGATTCAGACATTATGACAGTTCTGACCTTCACCTAGGGTGGATCTTATTCCAGGTAAAAAACACCCACTTACTTCTCCTTCTTGAATTCCTTGCTGTTGAGCACGGGGAATTCCACTTGGATCATTTCCGGAGTTAGCATGATTTCTATACTCTGCTCACAGATATCCCTGGAAGAGAGTAAGATGTTGAGTGGGAACAGCTTCTTTCTCAGCATAAAAACAGGACGGACTACAGGTCATTTGGGAGCCTTCATTCTGGCGCTTCCCAGTGTCACAGCTACTTCTGCTGAGTCCATGTGCAGAGAAGCAGAGGATAGACAAACGACCTCCACCAGCCAACGATGCTGAGGGAGATATTTATAACCAGGGAATGAAAAGCTGTTCTTAAAAAGGGGCCACAGATTCCAGGCTCCCTTCAAGTGCACCTGGACCGTTTATCAGATGGCCCATGTCCCTACTGTAATGAAGCCCAAAAGGTTTCCAAAGATTGGAGTCATTCAAGAATGTTCTCTGGACACAATGGGATTAAAATAGATCCAAGGCCACAGATAACTAGAAATCCACAGCTGCTGTGAGATCAGAGTATTTCTCCTGAAACTTTTATTTTTAAAAACAACATACAATGTGTTAAGTACCATTGTGACATTTTGGAGCAAAGTGTGTTTTTGTGATTCTCTCCCCCCATCTCCCCTCTCTCCTGCCACCCTGTGTCTCCCTTGCGCCTCCCCACTCGAGATGAATTACTCTTTCATGTCCCATGTGTCTCTTCACCTATCCCCCTCCTTCCTCATCCCCTATTATCACCCTCTCCGTCTCCTCCAGATTTTCAGGCTTTATTCACACACACATCTGCTTACATGTTTATATGTGCACACTCTAGGTCAGGACCTGCACACGAGAGAGAACATTTTTGTCTTTCTGAGTTTGGGTCACCTTGGGAACAATCTATGTCTAAATAGCCTTTAGTGAAAGAAATTCAAAGGATCTGCTTTATTTATTATTTATTCTCTCTCTCTCTGTCTCTCTCTGTCTTTGTGTGTGTATGTATGTGTGTGTGAGAGATAAATAGATGAGAGAGACAGAGAGAGAGAGAGAGAGAGAGAGAGAGAGAGAGAGAGAGAGAGAGGTGAATGCCATATGGATGCCACAACCTTGCCTTCTATCTTGTTTGAGGCAGGGTCTCTGCTGTTCACAGCTGTTCAGCCCCGGCTAGTTGGCCAGTGAGAGTCAAGTGACTCTCCAGTCTCTGCCTTCCATGTTGGAGATAAGGAAGCTGATAATAGGGGCTAATGTTTCCAGAATCACCGATGTAATAAATGCTCACTCCCAACTACATGGGGACATGACAATGAGACCTCAGTGGGGCCATGCATGTTACTGCTTGCCAGGCACTGCCTGATGTACATTTAATGCTTGGAAATGTTATATTCTGATCACTAGCCTCCTCCTCAGCACCACATTGTCTCATTTAATTCTGATACACTACTCTCAAGAATCAGGTACCAGTTCAAAGATGAGGAAACTGAGTCACAACAGTGTGCGCACCAGTGATGAATGAAGGAGGTGGTGTTTCTGCTCTGGTCTTCTGTCTCTGTAAGTGGGCAGGTATAGAGCATATTGTCTAGGTAAAACTCGGCCTGAGAAGTACCTGGTAACTCTGCAGGCCCCTGCTCAGGCCACAGGCAAGCCACTTTTTTGTGGATTCGTGCCCCACAAGTTGGACGTCAGATGTTGTCTGAATCTTAGATGGTCTTTTAATACAAAACTCAGAGCCAGATATCAGGGTGAAAGCTGAAAGATCAGAGAAGCAGAGCAGCCAGCCACTAGTTCTTACTTCTACGAAATCCTCAGCCTCAAACGAGTGAGTTCCTGTTTCCTCACGCCTTCCTCTGCCCAGACATCACTTCCTGGTATTAAAGGCATGTGTCCTTCCCAACCAAAGGCATGAGATTGCAAGTGCTGGGGTTAAAGGTGTGTGCCACCACTGCCTGGCCTCTGTGTCTAATCTAGTGGCTGGCTCTGTCCTCTGATCCTCAGGCAAGTTTATTAGGGTGCACAATGCATCACCAAAGGCAGGGCCAGACAGGACTCCTTCTCAGCCTGAAGCAAACAGAGACCACCCTATCACGCCTGCAGCACTCTCAAGAAAGGGTCTTCGACATGGGCTGGAGAGAGAGCGCAGCAGGTAAAGGTGCTTGTTGTGAAGTCTGGCCATCTGCATTGGGTCCCTGGGCCCCACGTGGTGGAAGGAGAGAACTGACTCCTGCAAGTTGTCCTCTGACTGTCTCATGAGGACACACACACACACACACACACACACACACACACACACACTTAAACAAATATTATTTCAAAGAATTAAAAAGAAAGGGCCGTATGCAGTACTTTGGGTAGACCTTCAATCTTCCTTTGAAGAGTTTGCTTCCAAGTGCGTATGTCCGAGGGTACTGTCAGCTCTCAGAGCACGTGGGCAGGCATCAGAGGAATTGGCTATCTGCCTCGGATATTTAGGATTTCACTAATTGGTTATTTTGCATGGAAATGTGTTGATAAGAGACAGAAATAGAGTTTGCCATGAGTAACTAACTATTTTTGAGTGTGTACTGGGTGTGAGATACTTCACCTGGCAAGAACGAGGCATTTCCTGTGCTCAGCAAGCAGGCCGGCATGGGCCCTGGTCTACGGCACCGATGGATGGTCATTAGAGGGATTGTCGGGGTTTCTTTGCGTCATTGTAACTTTCAGTATAATTTAGAACAGGAAAGTTTGGGTTGATTAAGAGGGAAAGTAAGAGCTGGGAGATGACTCAGTCAATCAAGTGTTTGCTGTATAAGCACGAGGGCCTGAGTCCGGTCCCCAGAAACTGGGGTGGAGTAGCGCATGTTTATGACTCCAGCACTGGGGAGGCGGAGTCAGGCAGGTTCTCGGGCTTGCTGGCCAACCAGCCTGGCACAGTTGGTAAGCTACAGGCCGGTGAGAGATCCTGTTTCAAACAACAACACACTAGGAAAGTGTCATGGGTTGGCCTCTAGCCCCCACATGCATGAGCAGTGTGGCACAATGTGGCAGACACAGGCACGCACACATGGAGAAAGCGATGATCCCTATGGAGAAGCATTTGCAGAGTGGGCAGTGGCGGGTGGTGTAGCTGAGGCACACGTGCCTGAGGAGTTTGGGTATCACATCAAGGGGCTCACAGTACAGAAGACGCTCTGGGGCCTGAACCTGTGCCCTGTTTGGATCCCATCTCCTGTTCTCGTGTCCGCTGCTGGGTCTCTAGCTGGATTTAAGGACACGTGTTAGATGCCGATTAGTAAAAGGAAATGCAGGTGCCTTGCTAGGTTATATTTCTTGTGTGTATGTGAGTGTGTGTGAGTATGTGTGTGGGATACATGTGTCCATGTGGTATATGTGTATATGTGGTCTGTGTGTACGCACAGAGTCCAGAGGTCAGTGTCTGGTATCTTCCTCTATTGCCCTCCTTTTTTTTTTTTTTTGGAGACAGGCTTTTTTGCTGAATCTGGAGAGCCCTGATTCAGACAGACTGGCTGCCCTGTAAGCATCAACGATCTGCTTGCCTCCATGACCTCAGCAGATCTGCTTGCCTCCATGACCTCAGCAGATCTGCTTGCCTCCATGACCTCAGCAGATCTGCTTGCCTCCATGACCTCAGCATCATCAGCCTGGGATTACAGGTGTGTGTTACTACGTTTGGCTTTCTTTTTCTTTCTTTCTTTCTTTCTTTCTTTCTTCCTTTCTTCCTTCCTTCCTTTCTTCCTTCCTTTCTTTCTTTCTTTCTTTCTTTCTTTCTTTCTTTCTTTCTTTCTTTCTTTCTTTCTTTCTTTCTTTCTTTCTTTCTTTTTCTTTCTTTCCTTCCTTCCTTCCTTCCTTCCTTCCTTCCTTCCTTCCTTTCTTTCTTTCTCTCTTTCTTCCTTATTTTCTTTTTTTAAGTTATGGCTGTTTGCTTGAATGCATGATGTATACGATGTGTGTGCCTGGTGCCCACAGAGGCCAGAAGAAGATATTGGATCCCCCAGAACTGGACTTACAGGCAGTGGTAAGCTGCCATGCAGGTGCTGGGAATCAAACCTGGGTCCTCTTCGAGAGCAGCCAGTGCTCTTAACTGCTGAGTCACCTCTCTGGCCCATGTCTGGTTTTGTGTGTGTGTGCTGAGGATCTGAAGTTGGTCTTCACGCTTGTGTGGCAAGCATGTGACTAACTAGCCATGTTCCCCGCTCCTCACGTCTTAGACATTCGGGGTAGTCTGTTCTGCACTATGAGCCAAGTGTCTCAGTTCCCGGTGGCACAGTTGGGCATCAGACTTACCTGATCCTTTAGGGTAGACACTCAGGTGCTGTGTATGCTTCCACAATCCCTCACAGCACCTCCCATGGAAAGCAACACCTTACACACCAAAAGCCCCAAAAATAAAATTGGAAAAATACCTCTCGGTAGTTTCCAGTCTGTCTTCCTCTGGCAGGCCGTCCAGCGGGGCGGGGATGTCTTCCGGCAGCATCACAGTACTGTACCAGTCACCTCTGTGGAAAATAACACAAGCAGTGAGGACTGCAGCTGCGTCGGCACTCACGTGGGCCCTCGTGGGACACAGGCTCTCACAGACGCCACGGAAGCCTCAGGCTCGCCACTTAGCTGAGGATGACCTTGAACTTATGATCTTTCTGCCTCTACCTCTCAAGTTCTGGGATTATAGGTGTGTGGCATGGCGCCATGCCTGGTCTATGCTGTGTTGGGGCTGGAACCCAGGGCTTCCTAATGCTAGGCAAGCCCTCTACTCACTGAGCTACATCCCCAGCCCCTAGGATATGGATATAGAGTATGCATGTGTAGTGTGTGCATATATATATATGCGTGTTTGCATGTGTGGGCACATGTGTGGGTGTAGATCTACATGCATTTGCATGTGGAGCCCAGAGGTTGATTTCAGGTGCCTTCTTTCACCGGCTTCTACCTTATACACTCAGACAGTCTCTCACTGAACCCACAGCTCACTGATCGGGCAGCCTGGCTAGACAGTTCACTCTGGGGAATCCCTGTCTCTGCCTCCCAAGGGCTGGGGTTACAGCTCACACCATCTTGCTCAGCATTTTCATGGGTGCTGGGGATCTGAATTCTTGTCCTGATATTTGCATGGCAAACACTTTACCCACTGAGCCGTCTTCCCAGCCTCTAGAAATATAACTTACTATTTAAAAAGCCTTGCGTATGTAGGACATTAAAACAGTTGTGCAAAGGAAAATTTTTTAAAAAAAGTTTTGACTAGTTCTGAGTTTGGGATACACATGAGTATTCTACATATTGAGAAAATAACATTAAATTTGTCAGAAAGGGGGATTAAGAATCTGAAAGGAAACTGAACAGTTAGTCCCACAGTTACAGTAGAGGGAAGAAAGAAAGAGAGGACTGGAGAAAGAGAGTAGTGGTTAGAGTCCTTCCAGAGGACCCGAGTTCAGTTCCCAGCACCAATTTGGGTGGCTCACCACCGCCCGCAGCTCCAGGTCCGGGGGATCTGACGACCTCTTCCAGACACCGTAGGCACATTCCCCCACACAGACAAGCACATACACACCTAATCAAACAAAACAAATCTTTAAAACAAAAAAAGAAAGAAAGAGAGAGAGAGAGAGAGAGAGAGAGAGAGAGAGAGAGAGAGAGAGAGAAAGAAAGAAAGAAAGAAAAAGAAAGAAAGAAAGAAAGAAAGAAAGAAAGAAAGAAAAAGGGGGTGGGGAGAAGAAAGACAACAAAACAGCCCAGTAACGTACAGGCGTGGTGTGTGATGCCACCCCCCCCCCCCCCAGACTTAGGCAGGCTGGGAGCAAAAGGCAATTAAATAACTCGGAGCTTTATTATTCTACTTGCTCATCAACGTGTTTACTCATGAGGCATTTCTGAGACCGTGCTCAGATGAGCTATCAGCTCGAAGGTTCTCACAGCACAGAAGAAAAGAAATACAAGCGTGTGGAGGTTTCTGCAAGCACAGCTCAGCGGTTGAGCGCCCCTGTAGCCCTGGGTAGCATGTGGCCCTGTGTTCAGTCACAGCACCACACTATGGTGGTTTGCATGAGAATGTCCCCCACAGGCTCATGTGTTGAAACTGGTCCCCATGGCGCTGTTTGAGAATGGTTACAAAACCTTTAGAAGGTGGAGCCCTGCTGAGGAGGACATCACCTTCAGGAGGTGGAGCCCTGCTGAGGAGGACATCACCTTCAGGAGGTGGAGCCCTGCTGAGGAGGACACCACTGGGTGGACTGAGGATTTACAGCCTGGCTCCACTTGCTGTTCTCTCTACTTCTTGTGTGTGGATGAATGTGATCTTCGACAATTGATACCAGGACAGCCTCAATCCTTCCATGCTTTACTGCCACGATGGGCTCTCTCCTTCTGGAACTGCAGCCTTCTGGAATAAAGCCTGTTCTCTTCTAGGTTACTGTTGGTCATGGTATTTTATTACAGCAACAGAAAAGTACCTAACACACACACATATTCACACACACACACACACATACGCACACACATGATTGTG